GCTTTATTTTTCCTAATTGAAGAACTATGTACCACGTTAACCTTCATATTGGGAAACATTCATATCCCCCCAAATCATTAATAAAAATGAAGAAGAATGGTTGAAAAATACTAGAACAACTTCGAGGCCGCAAGAGTTCGTCTGTTAAATTAGCAAACAATTTCTCCGTCAATCATGGTTTATATTGTATAACAAATAGGTATTCAATATATTATTCAATACAGAGAAGGATGGAGTTGGAAGGGCTGTTCTGATCATTCAGTCCAGCTCTCTGCTCAAGACAAGAATTTAATTTAAAGTATCCAGCCTCTGTTCAAGTGCTGGTCATGCGCGCATGTGCGCTGGGGTCACGCATTGCTTTATGGGTGTGGCCACCACAGCTCTTGTGATCAGCTACAATTTTCTCATTTATTAAGAAAGGTTTTGTACACTCTATATACATATGCTTTATTTTTCCTAATTGAAGAACTATGTACCGCGTTAACCTTCATATTGGGAAACATTCATATCCCCCCCCCCCAATCATTAATAAAAATGAAGAAGAATGGTTGAAAAATACTAGAACAACTTCGAGGCCGCAAGAGTTCGTCTGTTAAATTAGCAAACAATTTCTCCGTCAATCATGGTTTATATTGTAAGTTTTAAAACGAATCAATTTTCCTCTTTGCTGATGCATAACAAAATTAGCATTTAGGATGAGAAATAACTGAATTGCATTAAAGAGTAATGGCATAGGATAGCACCTTTAGATTTCTTCTTTAGCTTAGAATGGATGGATATTATACAACTATTAGTACTGGTGCAACTACTAACAACATTATTACTCTTACAGTCTGGATACCAAATTCTTGGAAATCAGTTCAGCTCAACTCATAATTAGCAGTAACTGTTCTTTGTTTTTCAAACTTCATCTCCGCCTCGTTGTTTTCCTAACTTTTGCCTACAAATGCAGGATCTACTTTTTTTCTTTTCTCAGATTAACAGTGCGGTGATTCATGGGGTGCAACTGGAATGGACCAACTAACTTCTCAGTTGAGCTGTCATGGGCTAAGGGACTGACTGGCCCAAAGTCACCCAGCTGAGTTTCATGCTAGAACTCACGATTTCCTGATTTCCAGCCTGCAGCCTTAACCAGAAGACTGACCTGGCTGTTAAGTTCCAGCACAAAGATGTATAGAAACAAGGTCCAACTTGTCATCAAGAAGGAGACGCGAAATGGCGCTTACCTTTCCTCTTGGCCTGGGCTATGATATCCGCAGCGCCTCTGCTCATAACCTTCGTGACGTACAAGGGGCAATTGGCTTGTTTTGCGATAGTGATAGCACGATACACGGCCTCCGTTTCAACCTTGGAAAAGATGGATAATCAGATACCTGACTCAAAGTGACTCTTTCATCCAGACCTGCATGGTTAAAAGAATCACTGGAATCCAATCTTTTTATTCCAATTTTTACTCACGGGAAATTTGCAGTTCCAGAAAAAAAATGGGAAAATTAGCGTTACGACTTTTGATTTTAGAAATTGTGAACAATTCAGTTACGCATTAGTGATTTCAGGTTGAAGCTCCGTATTAAACAAATGGGAATTGCAAACCTTCATAGACGAGGAATACATGCTATTAAAAAGAACAGGATTAGGACCACTGCCACTCAGAAAAATGTAAATCAGATTTTTTCCCCCATTATAGGTAATCCTCAGGTTATAATCATAACTGTGCCCAGAATTACAGTTATAAGACATTCTGGTTGTTAAGCAGGTTACATGCATTATTTTATGGCCTATTTTGCAGCAGTCATTAAGTGAATCACTGCAGTCATTAAGCGAATC